GCAACACCGAGGGTTGCGATCCCGTTGCCGGTCCTGGTCCGGTACGGGCGCGACACTGAGGGTTGCGATCTGTTGCCGGTCACGAAAAAAAGACAAAAAGAAAAAAAAAAAAAAAAAAAAAAGAGTCTGGCATATAATAAGTGTTCTATAAATGTTGGTTATTAGCATTTTGGTATCTCTTTCCTCTTCCAGTTACTTCAACAAAACCCTACAACCACCAATTTTATAATTATATAATTATAATTTTATAATAATATGTTGACAACTAAGAGGACATAGTAATATACCTATATTTATGTATAAGTGATTGTGTATATTTGCACACACACTTGTATAGGACGAGCGTACTTCAAAAAGTTCATGGAAAGACTCATATTATCTTTCAAATCTATTTTTCCACAAACTTTCTGAGGTACTCTCGTCTATGTGTACATGAGAGATAACAACCAATGTCTACAAATGAAGAGATATTTTGCAGGATGTTGACAATACCAAAGTATACCCACGCCCCCTACCCCCAAATACCTTGAATTCTTGGTGTTTGAATGTATATTCATATAAGGTACTTTTCCACACTGAAATTTAGGATCAATACTGGCAAGATAGACTAACATTTTCTATTTTTAGCCTCATACATTTTTATGTTTTGCTTCTTCTCAGCTTTAAATTTCCTTAGGCTCTTTTCTCTGGCAGTTCATTCGCTCCAGCAAAATATCTGTTATTTGGTAGGTTTAAGGCATATGTTTAGTGGTTTTCAAAATATTTTTGAAAACAGCTTAAAAAAGGAGAACTTACTGTGCCAAAGGATAAAGAAATACCATACTCTTTATTACATTCTATAATAAACTAGACTGTTTAACGTCATAAAATTTCAAGAAAATGACTTAATTAACATGCCAGCATTTACTAAGAGGAAGTGGGTCTGAACTGAGAAATCTGATATGCTGCTTTGACCCTATCACCAGATCTCTGAAAATATTCATGTAGTGACCTGTTCGGTCTGATAGCAGTAGGGGAAAGAAAAGTACTGGAGCTGTAATATTTAAAATGTTGCTTCAGTGGGCTAACAAAACCTCCCTTGGGTTGAGAAATTCAATACTTGCATGTCAGAGTTTTAAACACATTCTCAGGTTCTCCCTCTGTGCCTACCAAAATGCTACACCAGGTCTCTAATAAAAGGATATCTGAGTTTGATGCTACCTTCTCTGCTGGCACCAGTGATTACAGTCCTTAGGCTGATGCAAAATAAAATAATCTAGTGTAAATGATAGTGACATCAGGGAGTTACTACTGCCTTAATTAATTCTATCTCCAAGTCCATATGGTCATTGAACTCCAAGGAAGCCCAGGCAACTTGAGCTCCAGTTGATACCCCATCTTCTCTTATCTCCATTCTTTAAGCTAAATGTAAATGTTGTCTGGACCAGCTGTTGCCCCTACAGTTAATTAATGTTTACTCTTCGACTACTTAGATTGGTAGATGCTGCTGTTTCTCTCCATTTCTACCAATGTTGGAGAGTAGACACTGCATACATTCTAGGTGGGTTGGGGACAGCTCTTTTGCTGTGTGCAGCAGGTTCTTCTGATCTGGTTCTTCTAGAATCACTGATCTGGTTGATTTAATGCTTCTATTTTCCCTTAAGAGTTCAACACTCAACCAATAATATAATTATTTCTTATGGCATCTTTATATGGCGGGTACTATAACTGTTATGACAGCCATTCCTGGAAAAGAGACCAAGGCATGGGGCAATGAAGTGAGCTGCCCAGGTTCACAGAGGGAGTCAAAAGTACAAACAGACACAGTCCAGGCCAAACCTCTACTTTCCATACAGTTTTTCAAAATTAAATGTTACAGCATCATTCACAATTCATATTCAGGAATTCATTCATCATTCATGTTCCTTTTCCAGTTTTATGGTGAATAAGGATATGGATGAGAAACGGTTTGCCTAATGCCACATGGCAGGTTCTCCCTTGGAAGTCTGTGCCCTTCTGTCATTCACACCCGCAGGCACTCCGTGCTGCACAGCTGAGGCCAGCAGTCATGAGCACACAGCCTCACCATTAAACAAGACCTCACTTGGGGATGTAGGAGAAGGTAGGCAGTTGGTTCTAGAGCAGTGTGTGTTTGTTTTTTTTTTGTTTTTTAATCACAGCCTCCACTGAGAATTTAGTAAAAGCTAAGGACCCTCTCCCTAGACAAATTATACAAAGTTTTGCCCAGTCTGGGATAGGGATATAGTTTTCTGGATTCCTGAAACTCCTGTATTAGTGAAGAAGTTACATTTTAAATATCAAGGAATTCTTTAAAATTCCTGATTTAGAAAGAATGAGTGTGTGCTATCACTTTCTATTTGTTTTCTCAAACTCTATGGTGTAACGTTCCAGGTGTTTCACTACTTTGGCCAATGGGTACTAACAGCAAGAGATTCTACCAGAACTGTGGAACCTTCTGAGTGTCATTTCAGACTTCTTTCTCTTAGGAGCCAACTGTGGAATTTAATTTTTTACATAGAAGGTGCTTTTTTGAAGGGTTTGTAGATAGTTCAGAAGGACTGTTTTTCTTTTTTTTTTTTTGACCAGTAAGGGGATCGCAACCCTTGGCACAGTGTGGTCTGCACCGCGCTCAGCCAACAAGCGCACCGGCCATCCCTATATAGAATCTGAACCTGCGGCCTCGGCGCTCCCAGCACTGCACTCTCCTGAACAGTAAGGGGATCGCAACCCTTGGCACAGTGTGGTCTGCACCGCGCTCAGCCAACAAGCGCATCGGCCATCCCTATATAGAATCTGAACCTGTGGCCTCGGCGCTCCCAGCACTGCACTCTCCCGAGTGAGCCACGGGGCCGGCCCAGAAGGACTGTTTTTCTGACCAAGGCATCTTTACCCTAGTTTCCAAGAGTTTAAAGTGGAGGTACTGTCTTTAGATTGTGTTTATCTAGAGGTATGATTCTTCTGTTTACCTAAAGACATAAAATGAATATAACCAGAAGATATATATGTGATTCCAAAATATGTAGGCAAAAAGTAAAGGACTTAAATAGATGTTACACCTATGCAGCCTGACACTTCCCTATGTAATGAACTCCTGTGGATTGAATTGTGTCCCCCAAAGTTCAATATTAGAAGCTTAATTCTCAATGTAAATGCTGAGGATGGGAAATCCTACTATGGTAATTGAAAGGTGGGTCCTTGAAGAGGTGATTAGATTGTATGTAGGACCATGCTTTAATAATGGTGGTCAGGGGCGTGGTTCTGAGGGTTTTAAAAAGAGAGCACATGAGAGTCTCTCTCTCTCTCTGCTCTGCCATTTTCTGCCATGGGAGACTCCTGCATTGCTGTAAAGCCACCACCAAAGAGGACCTTCTGAGATGTGTTCCCCGGACGTTGGACTTCCCAACCTCTGAATTGTAAGCAGTAAATTTCATTTCCTTATAAATCACCCAGTTCCAGGTATTTTGTTATAAGCAACAGAAATGGACTAAGACATACACCACGGGGACTGTGATACTATGATGTGTATATTTTGGTTTTCATTCACAGTTCCTGGCTTTTTCTAACCTTCTCCTGCCTTTCTGTCTTAGAGCTGGCCATAGAGAAATTCTCTGACCTACCTTACCTGACTGTAGGTCATAAAATTCCCATTTCAGGAGGGGTCCTGCCCCATACCTGGGAAGAAGGAATGCCACACAGAGAGGCCAAAAAGAATCTGAACAGACAGACCTTGCTGGGTTTCTCCACCCAGTCTGTTGGTAAAAGTCATACCCTTTTTGTCCAATCACATTTCTCCGTGGCTGTCTGTGCTTCAGTCATGCCTACATAATGAAGTTTCCACAAAAACCCAAGAGCACAGAGTTTGGGGAGCTTCGGGATAGATGAAAACTGGGAGTTTCCTGATGGGTGGCGCATTATGGAGAGCATGGAGGATGCGTGCCCCTTCCCCATACCTTGCCCTATGTGTCTCTTCATTTGCATCTTTTGTAATATCCTTTATAATAAACTGATAAATGTAAGTACGTGTTTCCCTGAGTTCTGTGAGCTGCTCAAGCAAACTAAATGAACCCAAGGAAAGGGTTGTGGGAAAACTGATTTATAGCTGGTTGGTCAGAAGTTCCGAGGCCTGGATTTGCAACTGGCATCTGAAGTGGGGCCAGTCTTAGGGACTGAGCCCTCACCCTGTGGAGTCTGACACCATCTCTAGGTAGTTAGTATCAGAATTGAATTGAGGGACACCCTGCTGGTGTCTGCTGAAGAATTTCTGGCTTGCTTGCCAGTGGGGAGGAATTCTACACATTTGGTCACAGAAGTCTGTCTTCTGTGTTGATGATTGTGCTGGGAGAGCAGAGGAAAGACTGCGTGTTTTTACCCACTCTCTCAGGGCTGTATTTTCTATGTTAGTATCCTTGGTATGTCTGGAGAACAATGGCAAAGAAAAAAAAAACACTTCTAGAAAGTACATCTGTAGCTACTGATGTGTTTTCCATTATGTGTTCTTCCCTTAGTCCCATCAGAGCTGTCATCTGATCTGTTCCAGAAGTTGCCCCCTTGTAAGGCTGCCGAAATCTGTGAATCTGTTGTGGAAACTTACTTGGGAACTTGTGTTCCTGGCTGAGAGCAAGTAAACGTTTCAATTCTGTAGAGAGAAAAAGAAAACAATTAAATCTTAAATCACTAAAACAAAAGTCACTTAAAAATAACTGAGAAATTAAATTAGACTGGTGAATGAGCTGATTTTACACTTACCTTCCTCGTCTATCAAGTAGCTTGATGCTATTCCGTCAGTGTCTGTTACATCGCAAGAGTAAATCCCCAAGTCATCTGGTCCGAGGTCTTTGAAGGTCATTTTCGTCCTTCAAAACAAAATATTTTTCTAGGAAATGAGGTCAGATGGGATCCGTGGACCTGTGTCTCACCCTATCTCTAGGCGTCTGCACTTGCTACTCCTTCATTTGCAACACTGTCCTCTCCTCCTTGATGAGCTAAAACATGCTTATTCTTCGTCTCACCCTATCTCTAGGCGTCTGCACTTGCTACTCCTTCATTTGCAACACTGTCCTCTCCTTGATGAGCTAAAACATGCTTATTCTTCATGTCTCGGGTTAAATGTCACTTCCTCTGAGAAGACTTTCCTGACTTCCTCCCAGAGGATGATGGTGGGGGAGGATGGTGGTACATCTCCCCCCATCCCCAAGCTATGCTACTTATCAATACACATTGCACAAATGGATATGTAACTGATCCCTCCTTCTCATGGGGGAGCCTGCATCTGTCCCCGTGGGGCACAACCTGCTCCTGGTAACTCTGCTGCTTCTCCTATGTCCTCCCCTTTCCCTCTTCTGAATTTATTATTCTGCACTGGTACAGTCTCCACTGTATAATCACTGCCTTCACAGACAGATTCTGCCTTGTTTACTACTGTAGTTCTAGCACCGAGTACCCTATCGGGCACATAATATGTAGAATGAAAAAAGGAATGGATCAGTGGTCTAGTTCATCGTGTTTTCTAACTTTGGCGAGTTATGTTGCTAGCCAGTGTCTAAGATCAATCAAACATTGAAATGTTAAGTGCACAAACTGGAAGAAAAATGTGTAGTTTGATTGTCCTTTCTTTGACCAAATGTATTTTTACTTCACGAACTCTGAAAAGTACTTTATAAGAATTATTATTTTCAAGGTTTATATTGGTTATGACTTTTCACAATGCCAGATATAAAATATTTGTGACTTCATCCTCTTATTCCAAGTAATTTAAGTAGAAAGCAAAGAGCTTACTTCACGGTCCTAGAGTGAAAACCCATCATGATGACAGAAACAGTCCTTACTTGTTGCCCTTGCTTTCGACTTCTAATCGTGGGGAGTCCTCAGTGGACACATAATCTTTGGACCAGGTGAACTCAGACTTTGGAGTCATTTGATCACATTCAAAGTTCAATGAAATGACTCCATCATCATCCACGTTTACAACAACCTCTTTGGTTCCTAGAAGATCAAAAAGAAGGCACTGATATTTTGTGGTAGAAATAAACCAAGACTCCATTACCTTGGGATCCTTAACTTTAGCCTTGAAGCAGGTCTCTGAGCCCAGGCAAGGGAAAAGCCCCACCTGCTCACTGTGGATGGACAGTCGTGCTGCACAATTCAACTTTTTTTTTTTTTTTTTTTTTTTTTTTTTTTTTTTT